CCCTGTCACGGCAGAGAGCCGTGACAGGATTGAGAGGTGAGCGAACGCCGGTATGTGTTCGCTCACCTCCCGATCTACTGAGCCGACCTGTGACAGTCTCATTGTCACAGGTCGGCTAGAACTATGAGGTGAGTGAAAAGCCCCTCCCCCCCTCATAGTTCTCCTTTACAGCACCCCCGAAATTAGGGCTGACGCAGGCAAGACGATAAGGCCCCATTCACATGTAGCGACTTACCTTTTGCAGCGGCCGGAATAACGCGACTTCCGGGGCGACGGTAGCGCGACCTTCCCCGTCGGGCTCCATAGAAAAAAAGCAAAGTCGCGCAAAATCCGCCGAAAAAAGGGTCCGGTAGAAGCGACGAGCGACCGCGACGAGCGACATGGAGCTAAGACAGCTCCATTGACTATCATTAGCCGGCGACTTCTCGCGATATCGCGCGGCAAAAATGCGCGATATAGCGGCGGAAATGGCGCAATAAGTCGCTGAATGTGAAAATGGGGCCTAAGGATTAAAAATAACAGTGGGAAGTTTGAAGACAGCAAGCTTCTACGGCCATAGTCTTCCCTCCCTATTGCAAACTGAACTTATCTTTTGGATCCAGAACCTCCGACCAACACCTTCAAAAAAGATACCTTACCACTGTCCCTCCCCCCCCCTCTCTGCTAGCTGCGGCCTTGGCAAGTTCAACTGAAATATATTTTAGGTGGAGTGATCCTTTTACTCCGTACCCATTAAAAAGGCAGACACCCCAAGTCTCCCGGACGCTCCCGCTATTAGATATCGGCTCTTGATAGAGGCCCTTCCTCTTGCCCCACCCCCACCCATCTTTTCCTACCCATTCCCTATCCTTCTAGTTTCCTTATAGTATAATGATTTCTTTCTCAGAGCTATTCTATTGTTGTAGATGTTGAATTACATGTAGACTTCCAATGCGGGGTTCACATGGGGAGGTTTCGTCACCGCAACGTTATACAGCGATCAATCTGGTCTTCTCGACCCCGAGGCGGAAGAATTACGAGGTTTGGTTAATGCTATTGCATAAGTCCTACAGTTAGCCCTCGTTCACACCTAAACGTTTTGTGGCGCGTTCTACGCTCGACGAACGCTCTACAAAACGCTCAAAAAAATAAATCCCATTGTATTCAATGGGTCTCGTTCCCACCTCGGCGTATTTCCGCCCCGTCCCTAACGCGCTACAAAACGGCCCGCGCCTGAAAAGGTCCAGGTACTACTTTGGGCCGTTTTGGTCTCGCATTTCCATTGGGATACAGCCAAGTAGCCTTCGGAAACGCGCGTCTGTCGCACGACTTTTTTAACCGCGAATCGCGCAACAGACGCGCATATGCAATACGCCTAGGTGTGAACGAGACATGACTAATATGCCAAATATGTATTTTTTTGCGACTGTAGTCAACGTTGTTTGTGTTGCGGATATTTTTTTTTTTAAAAACTAAATAAAAATTTAAAATGGGATAAAAAAAAAAAAGATAGTGGCTCCCGGGAGAGAAACACTTCCTCCCAGAAAGGTATACTCTGCTCGATCGTGCAGATTAAACCTTTCCCTGCGATCGATTTTTTTTTTCCGACATCGGGAGCCGCGGCGCCAAGGGCACCTCCCTGAATGAAGAGGGACACCTCCCTGAAATTGCTTCTTTCAGGTTGGGATCCCTGAAAAGGGCACTTGTCAGGTCTTCCCTCTGCAAAGGGACACCAAGCTAGGAGCCAAGCGGCCCACAATACAGTGACTTCCAGTTCTCAGTGAGTACATTGAGTTCCTCTTCTCAGCTCCAGTTGGTATTCAGTCCTAGAAATAGGCGCAGTAAGCTGGTGTCATGGTAACAAAGTCCCGCCCCTGGTAAGTCCCGTCCACTTTTTACAGAAGTAATGCAATGTTTGTAGGCACTCGAGCTCTTCCACCCCCAACATTCATCTGGGACAAGCCGATAACCGGCAACAATGGGGACTGAAGGCAGGAACGCCGGCTCATAGGTGGCATGGTTCTGTAATAACCTTGCAGGGAGGTGGTTGAGCTACCTCGTGGTCACCCAGGTAAAAGGAAATGATGATCCTACAGCGTAGCCGAGGTTCTGATTCGTAGTCTGCAATGGCAGGACTCTTACCTTTCCTCTTCCAGCAACTCCTCGTCCTGTCCTTGTTGCTGGCGGCGCTGGTGCTGCTGCCGCTGCTGCTGGAGGTGCTGCGCTCCGAGCCCTGCGAATCGGACTGAGCCTCGCTGCTGTCCTCCGAGCAGTCCGACAATTCCTTCCCCGCATCGGTCACATCTTTCTGTAAGGAGAGCGGAAAATGATGAGCTGGACTCGCATGTGACATAGCGGATTTACGTGGCTCACAATGAGGGTCGGTATGACTCTGGAGCTCGGAGGTGACGCCGTGGCCGAGATATGGTGGTTTTATTTATTGTAGATAACAGTCCAGAGTTCAGTATAATCGGAAAAGAGCTGAGCTCCAGAGCTGACGCTCTACAGACGCTCCTCTCGGTGCTACTCTTGGTGGTATAATATTACTTAGTCTTACTAACTTTTATTCTGGTTGCTCCCGTCCCCCAGGGGAGCAAGTGCATGGAGCACGTTGTCCCATCTTTCTACATGGTCACCAAGCTGAGCTGGGTGGACCTCAGCGCACCAACCCCCTTCCTCCCCATGCTGCCCTACCACGCACTGGCAAGGAGACATATAACTGATTAATCTTCTTTGATGACATTTGTCTCCAGGTAAGTGCGCTTGCCTGAGACAAGCACCATCCTGAAGAACACAGAGGGAGAGGTGTGTCAGTTTCCATGTTCTACCCCCTCTGTCTTTTGACTTGGTTGCTAGGATGCTGGCAATCACGCCACACAGCGTCCGTGGTTGCTAGGACTCTGGTGGCCAGGCTGCACAGAATCATTGTGCGTAATGGGCGTTGTTCCCGCGTACGCAATTTCAGCCAGAGAATATTTTTTAGAAGTCCTGTAAACAGAATTTTCATTATTTTTGCCAAAAATGCGTCTGCCATAGAGATAAGAAAAACCCAATATGTGCTTTCACCAGGGATTCTCTCTCCCTAGAGCAGCGACGGCGAAGCTTTTGGAGCCCGAGAGCCCAAACTGGATCACTAAACCAGCTTATGTATCTCAAAGTGCCAACCCCGCACTTAGGGCCCATTCACACTAGATGCAGTGCGTTCCGGCCCGATTCTGGCTAGAACGCACTGCCCCGCATTGCGGCCAGGCTGCACAGAATCATTGGCTACCTGCCACATAACAACCAATGCCTCTGTGAGACCCAGGCACCGGCATCCTAGCAACTAGGGATGCACCAATACCGGTATTTCAGTATCGAGTACCGATATTTTTTTCCCGGTACTCGCCGATACTGAATACCGAGTACCGGAAGTCCCAATCAGGAAGCCAGGCAGCGTGTAATGATTCGCCACCTGGCTTCCGTTTTAGCCGGGAAGCCAGTTGGCATGTAAAGACTCGCCACCCGGCTTCCCGATTAGGAGGGAAGCGGTCCCCATGCTTCTCATCAATAGGTGACAAGAAAGCATGGAGCCGGCTTTCTGGCCAATCGTCAATGCTAAAGCCTGATGAAGGGTCCCTGCGCGGTCCCGAAAGCGCTCGTTTGGTCATATGACAAAAAACTTCAATAAATGAAGCTTTCGCTATCTTAAAAGGACTGGACTGGTGTGCTGGTGACATTTCTACAATTTTGCTGACATTCGCGGCGCCATCCGCAGTCACTGCGAGCACCCCCCACTACAAGGGACATATCGGTAAGGAGTGCGACAAGGATAGTACTTAGAGAGAGACGGTGACCCTCGAGGGGTGAATACTAAGAGGCCTTGAGCTGAGGAAAGCCGCCGAGGACTGTATTTCCAGGGAAAATCCTGGGACTATCCCGCTGGGAGTGTGTGGGACAGCCAGATGTCAGTGAGACCCAAA